TATATCCTCCCAGCAGAGCTTGGTACTTCTCTGAGTGAAATCTTCTCTGCCTCGGCAAATGTTTTTTTACAACACCATCTGACACTTACCTGAACAAAGTAGATAATTTGCAACATTTTGCGGCAGTAGCTGCGAGTTCAGCTTGCTTTCTTTTACGTTCTCGATCTTTGCGAGGCATGGTGACAGCATAAGCAGCAGACGACAACTACACGATACTTACCGAAGAGGACCTATCTGTTATTCGGGGATGGCGACGGACGAGACGAGGGAACAGGACCTGGAAGACAAAACCAAAACATGAATGGGGCACCGGAAACAGAACAGACAAGCATAATGAACACAAAAGCCAGGACAGGACCTGACACAAGACAGGGAACACGGACAGACAGACCAGGAAGGGTGACACAGGGGGAACACCGACAGGCGGAACAAAAGGGCCAGGAGTGAACGGAGGGACAACAGGGGGAGCAGGAGCAGGAACTGGAGGAACAAAGGGACGAGGAGCAGACAAGGGAGACCAGACAGGAACGGACGGGGGACAAAAGGGAAACCGAGGGAGCCCAGATGGGCGACAGGCGGTGGCCGGAGGGGCAGCAGGCTAGAGGGAGGCAGGAACAGCAGGGGACCACACAGGGGCCAAGGAGATGGGCTGAGGGAGTGACGGAGGGGACACTGAGGGAGTCGGAGGGACCACCGTCGCAGGCTGGCAGGAGGGGGAAGCCGCGCCGAGGGCGAGCCAGGGGGCAGGGCGGGGCGGGACCCGACCCCTGTGCATGTGTCCTCTTCCCTTTCGGGACACCAAAAGGTGGGGACCTGGTCGGGATCCACCGTGCTGGGGCAATGGTGGAGGTTACTCCCCTGTTGGAGTCCATTGGGGCCATCAGTGAAATCCCTGAGGGATCCCATTCGAGCTCCTTCTCCCCCAAGGGGGAAGGAGCGGTGTTCTGACAGTCTGGGACCTGATGGTGCGGGCCGGGGCTGGGACATCGGGCATGGGCGGAGCCTGGGGCGCAGCACAGGCAGGGCAGCACAGGCAGGGCAGGCTTGGTGGGCAGAACAGGCAGGTCAGGCACACAAAGAATAGGTTCCCTGGAGGGAGGCGCATAGACCGGCAGTGCAGCAGGGACCTCGGGAGGCGGTGTAGGAACCGCCAGCTCAGGACCAGCAGGGGGAGCCGCAGGAATCGCCGGCTCTGGACCAGCAGGGGGCGCCGCAGCTGCCAGAACAGGGACCCAGCTGGGAGATGGAGATGGAGCTAGGTTGAGTCTGACTTTTTCGGGAAAGTCTGCTTTTCTTTAGCTACTTTCATGGAATACCCCCCAGGATCAGGTATTTAAATTGCAGAGGGCTAACAAGCTAATGCAGAACAGATGAGAACAATCAACAAGGGCTGGCACAAGAAAACTGGCAACAGGTGGAATTAATAATAATTAAACACGGAAAGTAGAAAGCTTAACAAATACCAAAAACTAGAAAACATGAACTGGAAATAAAACACTAGGGACAGAAAACAAGGACAATTAAACTGAACCAGAAAGGAAGAAAACGGAACATAAGCAGGGAAAAACCTAGGACAAGAAATTTAATAAATACAAAACAGAGGAGACTGGACTTGAACACATGGCTAAAAGATTAGTAGCCACAGCCATAGCACCATGCAGCAATTCAGGGAGCTGGGGAAACACATGAAGGAGAGAACAGGATGGCCAGCAACACCTGCTGGCCAAATGTGTAGGAGATATGAAGGCTGGGACAGATGGGTGCTGACCCTGACAATAAGATTCTAACAGTCTGGATGCTGATCAGCTAAATAGTTACTTCAATATTAATACTAGAACTCGTGGCCATAGGTGGAAATTAGCAGGAGAGCATTCTAAAATGGATTTGAGAAAGCACTTCTTTACACAGTGTGTAGTTAGAGTATGATATACAGTAGGCTGTTAGTGTAGTGCAAGCTAAAACCTTGGGTTCCTTTTAATCAGAGCTAGATAAGATTTTAACAACTCCGAGCTATTAGTTCTCCCCAAATGAGCTTGATGGGCCGAATGGCCTATCGTTTGTAAATTTCTTGTGTTTTTATGTAAAGACTCCTCACAAACTGCTAATGTACTGTTCATCCCCCTCCCCTCAGGAAGAAGGCTGTGCAGAATTAGAGGCAGATCAACTAGACTGGTGCTGCCTCCCCTGATGGCATTAGATGCCAGCATATCCAATGACAAATCAGGTCACACCTACACTTGCACATGCATACAAGA